AATATCTGCATGTAATCTCCCAGTTATTACATGCTGCTGTAATCATTTCAGTGATACATAAAAGGCGTAATATCGGCATGTAACAACCGGTAGTAGTTCTTTTTCGTAAGGATACAGTAGTAATTATAGGTAGAGAAGAGTTTTTGTTTGATAAGCTATAACATAATTATTTATCGAGGAAATGTAATTATTTAATTTAGTTTAGATTACTTAATTTTTTAATTCTAAATTTTATAATATATATCCCATACAACAGAAATGTCAAAGATGAGATTAAGATATCGCGATATCTTCAGGAAATCCTTATGCATTTTGGACATTTCTATTGTACGGAATAAAATATCTTATAGTATAAAGTATATTTATTTAAAAAACATTGTGTAATTATAACAAAATAAAGACAATGCTTCGAAAATTTTATTATGTAAAATGCTATATTGACATAAAATGTTCTTTTATCCTACATATCTGTAACATTTTTTAAATTTAATGTTTCCAAAATATTTGAAGTCCACTTAAAATAGATCACATAATGTGAGTCACATAATTTATTATATCTCAATGACTAATCAAGATATCAGAAAATTCTTTGATAACGATAAAAAAGAATTACTTGCAACATGGAATTTTTGAAGTTAATTTTTTAGATACTTTAAAATTGATTTAATTTTTATCAAATAATATAACTTTTTTACGCAAAATTGTCTAAAAAAGATCGTCTAAAAGAAATGATCAAGAATATGGTCCATATTCTGAATCTTTTCTTTATTGATAAAATACTTCTAAAAAAATAGTTTATAAACCTTCTAATTGACTAATGAACCACTTTTAGAAGTACTTTTATTAATAAAAGAAAATTCAGAATATATGTTCTTTTAATATATATTCTTTTTTAATTTAATTTTAATTCTTTATTGTATAATATATATTTGGTACCCAGCAAGCAAAATGCTAACAATTTGCTAGCAAATTGGCAACAAATTCGATCAAATATTGACTGCAAATCCATAGCCATCTGTCCGCATTAGGCTCAGGATTGTCGACAAAGCCTGCTGACATGCTATGCCAACAGATTGGCGGCAGAAACCGAGCAGAACCTGTTGACATACTACGCGAACAGAATGATGACAGAAACCGAGCAGAGCCTGCTGACATGTTATGCGAACAGATTGGCGGCAAAAATCGAACAGAGTTTGCCTTAACTTCCTTGTTGGATTATGTCTTGCATCAAACGTATACATAAAAATATGTAAATAATAAATGCAATGTTTAAATTTTGATTATGATTTTGCTCCTATAGAAAATTTGATAAATTTTGCATGCAAGAAACGGACGCCATCTAGCGGTTTTTCAATTATTGTGTTTAAATATGCGCAATGACAGATACTGCTCGGTTTTGGCTACTAATCTTCTAGCATAGCATGTTAGCAAACTTTGTTCGGTTTTTGCTAGCAATCTGTTGGCATAGTATGTGCAATTGTTGCTTTTTTGTCATCAAACGTTGGTAACAGGTTCTGCTCGGTTTTTGCTAGGAATCTAGCATAGCATGTCGGCTTTGTCATATTTTTTAGGACAGTTTGCTCCCAACGTCAGATATTACAGATTTCTGTGTGCAATTTGTTGCTTTTTTGCCATCAAATATTGGTAGCAGGCTCTGCTCAAAATCTGTTTCTGCAGGTTTTGCTATCGGGGCATACGTTATTGGTTAGAGTTAGGAGTTAGGAGTTTGTTCCTAATGTAATTAACTCTAACCAATAACGTATGCCCCGATAGCAAAACACCATCTCATTCTAACCAATAATGATATTTTTTACTTTGCATGTGCATTGATTTAAGTGTATTGTGCATGTGTATTAAACACGTAGAAAGCAATAATAATATATTATTAAATAATAGAGATACTAAAATTGTAAAATATAGTCATAAATTAATTAATTGTGATAAATCAATATAAAAAATGGGTGAATGTTCATTTTTTTATTTAAATTTTATTTTATATTGTAATAAAGTTTGTTTATAATAATAATAAATATATATAATAATCCTTTCTAAAAAAAGGCATGATCGATACTTGCATCTCTCGAAATTTTCTCGAAATTTATTGTTGATGCTTTTCCGCGATGGGTTCTCGCTGCGCTAATTTTGTAAATAGTTGTCATTGTATTGATTTCATAGAGGATCGTTTTGACAATTGTGTATCAAAAAATTAAAAATATTATAGTATAACAGTAGTATAATAATATTATATTAATTTTTGCTCTTGTATTGGAAAAGATAAATAGCAAGAAAAAAGATAAATAAAAAAAATAAATAAATAAATAGTAATAAATTTTAAATCATTAATATTAAAGAAAATATATTAATAAATGATATATTAATAAATATATTAATAATTAAATATATTAATAAATTGATAATATAATTATGTAAAATAAAATTTTATAAATATACACATTTTATTATCTTTAAAACGCTTATATTTTTAAATTATAATATTACAATTTAAGATTAATGTAGTTAATGTATTTGAAAATAAGTGGGAATAGCCAAAAGATGGCGGACCATTCAAAAATTGCTTTTTCGTCTTTTATTGAATGCTTACGATAATCTAACTTCGAGTTAGTTCCACTAGGATCAAAAAATATAATACACATATCTATCTACTATCTTCATGAGTCATGACAATTCAACTTAACCTGTCTAATATTCCTTGAGTTGAATTAGCTGTAATTAGCTGATAGAAAATATTGAAGATATTATAAGTAATATAATATATTACTTATATATTGTCTTATATTACAGATTCTCTGTGCAATTTGTTGCTTTTTGGCCATCAAATATTGGTAGCAGGCTCTGCTCAAAATTAATTCCCCGAGTTACTAATTAGTTAATTTATTTACCCAACCAAATCTGATTTTAAGAAGAAAATGTCTACTGCAAATATATTTATGAAAGAAGAAAATAATGTTTATATGTGCCTCTTTAATAAACATAATTATATATAAGTTTATTATTATATATAAGTTTTAATTAAATATTAAGATATTACAATAATTTAGATAACATTTTATTAATTATATGACAATAATGCTAAATAGGATAAATAATTATAATTGTAAATATTTTAAATTTGCAAAATTATTTTACTTATAATATTTTTGATATCTTCTACCAGCTAATCACAGCTTTTTTTTTGTTTAAAGAGAAGGAAATCTTCCAAAGATCCCTGTGAACGAGCCGAGGAGTGTGGGATTCGACAGGAGGACGCGTAAGTCCTCCAACATCGCCTACCCATTAAAACCTCCTCTACTACCTTAACGATCATTAATGGGGAGGGCCCTAGAACGTTGACAAAACAACTCGTCACGGGCCTTTCCCTGACCAATCAGATGATCCCTATCTAACCATTCAAGTCTAACTTCCATCTATTGATCACACTCGCAAGAAAAATTCCCTAGAGGTGACCAATTCTAAACTGCCGGTCTTCCGGCGGGACAGGTAATTTAAACCTGTCCCATTCGATTCTTTTCCTTTCTATCATAACACGTTCCGCGAATCTCTGAAAAGCGCTCCAAGTTCCTTCATCCCTCAATATTGCTATAATTATATTATAAGTCATATAAGTTATCTATTCTCCCGGTTGTTTCTCACATGTTTCCCATCTTCTGTCCAGGCTCAATAAATTACTCAACTTAAGGATTATAAGAGCGTTAAGTTGTCATGACTCATAAAGTTACTAGATGGTTATGTGTATTATATTTTTTTGATTCTAGTGGAACTAACTCGACTTGGATTATCGAGTATGGTCAAGAACTTACTACAAATGCTTTGAAGCATTTTTTGATTAATGCATTAGTAAAATTCTTTGTTTTGATTGGATAATCAAACGCTTCAAAGTATTTGTAGTGTTACATTGACTGTAGCCATCGTAAGCATCCATTATGTCTCTAGATTCAGGCTTAGTTACAAAATAATAAATACAAAGCTCACGATTCTCCACAAGAGGTCTTTACAGTATATACCTCTTATCAATTTCTATGACGAAATGAGTGCGACCATCTTATGTTTCAACCATCTCAGTAAGTCTAGATTCTGAAATTTCTCGTATACATCATACGTATCTATGACAATTTAAAAACATGGCTACCATATGAAAATGAATTTGGTTGGTTTGTCTGGTGTAAACAAGTTTCTATGTTTAATTTGTTATGAAAGCTTTGTTTCGCGTTGTCGCGATCGTACGAGTTGCCGATCGAGAAAAACGTACCCAGTACGCTGAGACTGACTTGGTCCATTAAAAGCGCCAAACAACTTTCGAAAGTGAAAGCCACGCAAACTGACAGATTTTACGTTTCCGACAAGTGACTAATGTCCGTTACTTCCATCTCATTATCTAGAAACATTTTTGCGCTACTATAAAACCAAATATACTATAAATTTGAGTAGAAAAAAAAAATTTATTTACGAAGGTAATAATATTAATAATTTTCTAATCAAAATCAAAATTACGTAATTAATTACATATACACACACACACACACACACACACACACACACACACATATATATATTATATTTATATATATATATATCCTGTTGCAGATACAATTGAGGAAATTCTGAGAAGTGGAACGTGAGAATTTGTATGTGATTTTTCATTGACGAGACTCTACTGCCCTTTAATAAATATCTATGGATACTGCGGAATTCAATATTATTATGCATCATCCAAGGATCATCATTCATTTAGATGTTGATTGTTTCTATGCACAAGTTGAAATGGTTAGTCGTCCAGAATTGGAGGGAAAACCATTGGGTGTGCAGCAAAAGAATATAGTGGTCACTAGCAATTATTTGGCAAGAGAATATGGAATAAAAAAATGTATGTCGGTGCAAGAAGCTTTGCGTTTATGTCCAGAATTAGTCTTAGTAAATGGAGAAGATTTAACAAATTATCGTCGTTACTCGACCAAGATATCTGAAATTCTGCAACAATTTACACCATTGGTGGAAAGGTTAGGCTTTGATGATAATTTCCTTGATGTGACATCAATAGTAGAGAAACAATTCAAATCTCGAAGCGACTCAGAACTTGACATGAACAGTTTTAGTACAGAATTTGAAGATTTGAAAGAAATTAACAAGATATTTGGTCCATCAGAAGAGGAATGTCCGTGTGGTTGTCACACACGTTTGATGATTGGCTCTAAAATAGCAGCCGAAATAAGAAGTCGTATTTATAACGAACTGCATCTTACTTGCACTGCTGGAATAGCACACAATAAACTTCTGGCCAAGTTAGCAGGATCGTTAAACAAGCCAAATCAACAAACATTGATTTTTCCATGCAGCAGTTCGCTATTACTCTCTACAATAGGTTCTGTGACCAAGATACCTGGTGTTGGACAAAAGACTACAGAATTATTATTATCGAACAACATAAGGACAGTTGACGATCTGCGTAGAATACCTCTAGAAAACTTGGAATTAAAAATTGGAGTTGATTTAGCAAGAAGATTGAAGGACAACATTGAGGGAATTGATGAAACAGCAGTAAAACCATCTGGAAAGAAACAATCTATAGGTTTGGAAGATGGATTTAAAAGTGTATCGCTGGTAGCTGAGGTAGAGTCGCGATTAGGTGCGCTATTGAGAAGATTAACAGAGTTAGCAATGGAAGATGGTAGAATTCCCACTGCTATGAGAATAACAGTAAGGAAACATAACTTGAATAAACCTACTTCTGGTAAAAGGGAAACTAGGCAATGTACATTGCCAAAGCTTCTCTTACCGTCCTCAAAAAATGGCATGTATGATCATAGTAAAATGCTGACGCTTGCCATGAAACTATTTCTTCGATTAGTCGACGTTTCTAAGCCATTCCACTTGACACTTCTGGGAGTTGCATTTACCAAATTTGAAGAGAGAGCATATGGCAGGAGTAGTATTGCACCCTTCTTGTGCAAACAAGTTGCTGTTCATTCTGTTCTAGACATCAGTTCTGAAGAGGGCATTTCTGAAATGAATCAGGGATCGCCAATGAGTATTAATCAGGATAGCAATGACAGCTTGGATCAATCAGCGACAGGCATAATGAGCACTGCTACATCAAGCCTTTCATGCTCACCGATCTCAAAATTGTGCATGGCAAGTCAGAATACGGAAGACGAACTGCAGAATGAAATAGAACCACTACCGAAGAAAACCAAGCTGGAAGTGTGGCTGAGAGGTCGTCGAGAATCGCCGAGTAATGAAATGGCTAGTCTGAGATTAAGTCCTTCATCTCCTATGCAATTATCACCTACAGTAGATACTACAGTTTTTACAACTTTGCCTATTGAAAGGAGAGAAGTCACTCGTTCCTGGCCCACAACCAGTAAACCAAAACCAAACAATATACTTAAATACTTCATAGCCAATAAGTGACGGAGCTTTGTGACCTAGTATTGAATGTCGCATTTATGCAACATGCAGTATGCATTTGAATCAGCAACATTAAATGGCAGCACCAACATGGCAATGCATTATGGTCTAACGTAGAATGCGATTCTTAATTTTTAATATTTTTAGTGTCACATTCGAGAGCACAAAATATTAAATGATAAATAACGCCGAAACTAAACACTCAACTATAATAAATCAAAGTTATTTGCAGTGTTATATACATGTTTACAAGGAATATTGTTTTATTATAAATAGAAGAGATAAACAAAGAGATACAGTGTTAATAAATGTTAGTTTGAATGTATGTTATGATGTAAAATGCATGTTTTGAATGGAACGCATATTTTCGTCTAACTATTACGATTTAGAAAATAAATACCTGAATATTTTATGTCGCGTTTTTTTTCTTGTGCTCTAAATTAATACTTAAAAATTTTTATGTGCAATTAAGAATCATTCTGCATAAATTTTTCTTCTATGCTTTTATATCATATATTATTTTAATGTTTTTAAATATATTTGCAGATTTTGTGTAACAAAAAATCTACATCTGTGTTCAATTGCATTTAATACATTATTCAAATTTTATACGACATAGTATAACATCATAGTTTTACGATTTATTAATCTATGTTATTTTTACATTTATTTTTGACAGCAACAATGAAAAATATCGAAAAATATTAGTTTTGGTTAGTTTAATTTTTTCCCAATGTTATTTTATCAATAATATGTTCCTAGAAAAGTGTAATGTTAATCCATACACATAACACAGTTTACTTAGTTAATAATAATCTTGTTCTATTATAGTTAATATATAATAAATTTTCAAAAAAATTATAGTACAAAAACATCTTGAAGATTTTAGTTTTATAATTACAATTTGTCATTGGTGCTGTCATCTTTATTACAATGCAGTATGAGCTGTATTCATTTATTGTTACAAATACTTATATAGACACAATATATGTATTAAGACTAACCTGTTTTTAATTAAAACTACAGTAAAAAGAGTATCATTTAGTTTACACAATAAGAAATTCAGTAGTAATTTTAGAAAACATTAAAAATAAGTGTACGTCTATCAAGCTATACGTAAGTGAGATGAGGTGCTGACATTCGATGTTGTGACTTGTGGATAAATGGATAAATATATAATTTAATGTCGTGAGAAGAAAATTCTATTTTTAGTATTGTTTAGTATTGTTGAAACAAGAATTGAATATGATTTCGATGAATGCAATTTTCTTTGCTACAAACATACGAAAGAGAATCTTAGGTCAATTTTCGCGTGTTGTAAATAGTAACAAGAATCTCCTATGTTCGTAGCATTGAAATCAGAATTCTCAATCGACGAAATATCATTTCGATCCTTGTTTGTAATAACATGTATACATCGAGTGACAAACATTGTGTGAGAGAAATACTCTGTTATTCCTGCCAGGACTGATCATTGGTGTGGAGTTTCATTGAGAGTATAGTATATAAATATATATACATGTATATATAATTATTCGAAAAAACAGGTGTACTAGACAATCATAAAGTTTTAATGCCACATGTCAGTACAGCACATGGTCATTATCATATACATCCATATGTACACACACACACACACACACACACACACACACACGACGGACGTTAAATATATAATAATATAGATATGTATGTATGCACGATGGTGTGTGTGTGTGTGTGTGTGTGTGTGTGGTGGTGGTGGTGGTGGTGGTGGTGGTGGGTGGGTGGTGTGTGGTGGTGGTGGTGTGTGGTGGTGGTGGTGGTGGTGGGTGGGTGGGTGGGTGGTGGTGTGTGTGTGTGTGTGTGTGTGTGTGTGTGTGTGTCACAAAATACTATCCATTGCTAATTGTGTGACACGGGATATCCACAATGAGAGTTATACAATTTTACTTTTTACAGATACTTAAAGGACACTTCTCGCGAATTCTCGAGAAAATCCGCAGGTGATAAATCGAAAACAATATAGCTTTTGTATTTACGAAACAGAATAATATCCATTAAGATTACTTACATTGTTGAAAGAAAAGAGAAAAAAAAAAAAAGAAAAAGAAAGCGGAAAAAGAAACGGGATACAAAAGCACCGATAAAGCACGATAAAGTGCTCTTTACTGTGCTTTTCTATTTTTATTTATTTTTATCATTAGAACATAAGTGAAACGGTGTTGTCTTTTAATTTTTGGTTGTGAGTACCTATACTTTTTGCCTATATTTTATACAGATTTTGTTTAGGCGGGAATATGCGGCGTTGCGAAACATTGCGCATGGGTCGACGTCGAGAGGTCGAGATCAAATGTAGAACTTCGCGCTTAGAATAACAATATTTACGTCGAATATCGTTGAGAGTGTTTCTCAGTTGTGCGCGATGAAGGCGGCTTTGACTTTTTGACAGCGCAACGTCGCAGCTCGCGTTACTTCTGATTTATTTGAATAAAAAAACTTTTCGAACGCTAAACAATATTGTTGCTTCTGATAATTTTATGATCTATTCCCAACCTATTTCCTTACATAATTACATTAATAAGAAATATATTAATAATTATATTAATAAAGAGTATTCACAAACATTTGCTTATTTTACAAAAAAAAAAAATTGTAACTTCCGTTTAAACTTTTGCAATAAAAATAAGAATTACAAAAGTTAAGAAAATAATAAATCCATTATAAGTGATAGTCAAAATTCATATTTGTCTTAATAGAGTCTAAAAAATGAGTTCAAGCAAAATAAATCGCTCAAATAGTATTCGGTTAGATCTCAACATTCAATTAATTTTTGTTTAAATTAAATATTTTTTATCTAATTCTTTGAGTAAATTGCTGAAGTTTCTAAGGAAATACATTGGCATGCAAAAATAAGAAGCACACACGTTATCGAATCACTAGCGTGAGCATGAGGTGAATGTTACAAATATTTAGCATATCACACATTGTTTATTATGAAACTGAATGCAGTGGAAACAATGCTAAATAAAAACAAATTTAATTTTGGATCAAGGAAACGGTAGTTATATATATTTGCAAGAAAATAATTTTCTTAAAAATATTTTTATAAAGAAAAAACCATTAATTTAATAGAAAAATTATTCTTTTAAATTAAATTAATTTTAATTATTAAATAAAAATTTTATTTTGGTTGAGTAAGTAACATTTTAAATTACATTTTAATTACAAAGTGCATTACAAAATAAAAGAAATCCTTATTTTGAAACAAATAAGCATTTTTTTAGATAAATTTTTCTTTGAAAGAAATTAAGAAATTTGCTTTTAATAATAAGAAAATATAGTTTTTTTTTTTCAAACAAAAAAGCTACTTTAATTTCAAAAAATTATTATTAAAATCATAAGAATTGTTTTTTTAGGTAGGATTCATAGACACATACATATGTGCATATGCATGTGTGTATGAAACGTTTTTATCATTTCATTTTTCATATAAAAACAAAATATATGTATATAAAGTAAATAAATTTTAATAAGTTAACTCATTTAAGTTTTATTAGATAATTGTCGATTTATCGTTTATTGCAAGTCTGTATTATGTTTTAAAACTTAGATTGCAAGTTGCATTTTGGCTGTACATTTACAACAATGATAGCAACTATATCCGGCCGTAAACTTTCGTAGCTACCGGCATATCACCCTTCACCTATCACATTACGCGTGAGATACATCCGGACCATACATTTTGTTTTTATGGCCGGTATCTGACCCTAAATTTAAATGTCCGACGTTTCCTTGATTGTCATTTATCGTATATATAAGAACCAGTGGTAGACAAGCCTTAGATTGGCATTGAACTATCAAACTTTGTAGAAAACAAATCCGGAAAGATTTTTAAATCCAACAGATTCTGCAGATTAATATAATTTCCTGCCAAAAATGTTTTCAATATTCTACATCTTAGGTATTGCTGTGATACATATGTGTACGCTGTCAGGTAAGATTGTCAAAATTCTTTCTATTTTGTCACACTAATTTTTTTCATATGTCAACATACACGTTTAATAAATATATTTATATATTGGAAATCTTTTTTTTCGTGGATTAATAAATGATTGTAAATCTTGACCAATCATCGTAAAAACTATTTTCATTGAAATATACATATGTAATTTAGTTATATTAGCATATATTAGAGTTTATTATAATAAATAAAGATTAAAATATTAATATAAAGATATATAAAGATTAAAATATTAAAAAATAGTTAGTAGCAAAATAATGCAAAAAGACAATTTTTGATATATTTTATTATATTAATGAACACAAGTAGTACCTAATAAGCGCAAGTAATGTCTAAAAAATGATGAAAAATCTTAAATAAAATTAAAAGTTTATCCTTTATTCTATTGTTTTATATATTACTTATATGTATAATTTTTGACAAATATTATATTGCGATACAAATTTTAAACATAATATTAGTATCTATATGCCAGATTCCGAACTATTCAAATAAATTTTATTATTTTTTAGTTAATTTATTAAATTTATCGTAATAAAAAATATCAGAATCATTCAAAAAATTCTAAATGAGCTAAATATCTAAATATTGAAAATAGTTCTCCACGCATTATAAATAAATAACAAAATTGTAAATTTTAATGTGAAAAATGTTTTTATAATTGCATAGCTGAATCAATCGATCAAACACCGAAAATAGTGGGTGGCAGTTCTGCTAGTGAAGGACAATATCCTTATCAAGCATCTCTTCGTTATCAGAACCGTCATTTTTGTGGTGGTTCTGTCATAGACAAACGATGGATCCTTACAGCTTCTCATTGTTTAACGGGGTACGTGCTATCATAATTATCGAAATAACATTATTTTACATATATATTATCATTTGCGTTAATAATAATTAAGCATCACATTTTACAATTTTCTAAAAAAGTTATAATTACATATTTCATTTATTTTATATTAAAAATATATACATATAATTAATTTTGACTAATATCCTAACTGATGAGAATATTATTGTATTCTTAGAAGCGAATGTTTCAAAATTTCTGTTTACAAAATTACTAATTGTAAATTTAACATTACGGTAAAAATTGGACATTAGAAATAATTATTGTATATTTATATTCTCATAATCTACATTTTAATAGTTTCAACGATAAGGACATTACCGTTGTGTTGGGCACAAACACTTTAGATCGAGGTGGCGATATATATTCCGCAATCAAGAGAGTGATACATCCCTATTATAACGTCGCTTTTATCAGAAATGACATTGGATTAATTAAAGTAGATAAGGATATCGTTTTTGGAGATAAAGTGAAACCGATTGCTTTGCCTACCAAAAACTTTAATAAATCCGATTATCCGGCGACGCTATCTGGCTGGGGCACTACTAATGTATGTAAATATAAAAGATTAGCTCTATATATATATATATATATATATAG